GTTTCGTAAAACTTTCGTAAAGGGAGCAAAATCACAACTCTACCCCCCTTAGGCTAACTTTTGTATAGTTACCAAACTCTCACTACACTACCCCCACTAGGTTAAAATCGCTTGAAGTATCCTTGCCGATGGGGGTAGGGATGAGGTGGATTTTTAACTTCGCTCGCACAAAACTATATCTCATCATCGCTTCGAATGAAACTTTAAACCATGTCATCGGTTCTTATTTTTCTTGATTCCGCTAAACACCTATTGTTCGCGTCTAATCTTAATTATTTGAACTGAAGTATTTCTAAGATGCCGTAACAATTTATGCAAGACTCACAACTTTTTCGTCTAAAATTACTGTTCACTAAACTTTAAAAAAGACGGTTACTTGGCTAGAACAAATAACCTATTTCTCTTAAAAGTATTTGTGGATATTTAGACACTGATTCGAAGCTAACTTTGAGTAAATGAGTCTGCAATCAAGGTGTAACAAAACAGTAATTTGGTACTCGAAAAAGGTATATTTACGATCTCAGCATCAATTCTACCACTGGTTCCGTTAGTCACTGATACGTACACGATACGTGAGGCCGTCAGATTATACCAAACACTGTTTGAGATGGAGTTTAACTCCACTCGAGCGTTCGTAGGGAGATCTGTCGCACTCAGAGTAATCTACAGTACCGGCTACAGTTAAAGGAGGTATTTTTCTCATTCACAAAAAATCTTCACTGTTTTGAGAAACCTCTTGTTTTAGCATGATGTGGTAAATAAAAAAGAACACCACCTTTCTTGGTTTGCTAATGTTCTAGAAATTTGTTAATCTTGCAAAATCATCGACAGCGTTACTGTGAATAGGGCGATAGCGACTTAAAATATTGTGTTGAATCTTTCTCTAAGAAAGTGAAATTCATTCTACCTAGTTTTGCATTCGATTTAGTTCAATAAAGAATATCATTTTCTACACATTTGGGATTTTTAATTTAATCTTAAGATTAAGAGCATTTTTTCTTACTTTCCTTAGTTTTCACTCGTCTATTAAAATAAAGTCCGTCGTATATATGTTTAGTAACATGAAT